GATATTAGTTATTTCTCTATAATATTGATTATTCTTTTTAAATCTCTTTTGTTTCATTTAATTATTATTTTTATTTAAATATGTGGGATTTCTGTGGAATGTTAAGGTCAAAATTAAATAAACAAACAAAAAATAATAAATAATAATAAACAAACAAAAAATATCAAATAATAGATATATCCACAATTTGATATTATGATTATTGAGAAGTGATTGTTTCAGTGAATTCAATATGCTCTATTTCTACAATAGAGTTCACTTCTAACATATGAGAATTAGAAGGTTCCTCTTCTAATGTGTTGCCAGTGTTGAATGTGTAGAACATTAAGTCTTTCATGTTTTTAATAATGATTGTTCGTAGTATTTTGGGGAAGTTGATTTGTAATTTTAGTGTATTTAATCTTCTTACTGATTCTTTATGTATCAACCCATTGATTGTTAATATTACAGGTATTATTTCTACATAAGTTAATTCTCTACTTTGTCTTAACTTCTCTTGTAATTCTTTGTATTTATTTATTTTGTAAATATAATTTAATTCTATATTTCTATCTTGACATATGGCGACATCGATAATATATCCTTTTTTTCTTTGACATTTTGATAATATATATCTGGTCTTCTAGCATTAAACGAATGGTCACTAACCAATAAATCTTTATTGTAAGTTATAACCATTTCATTATTATTAATACACTTAGGAGGGGCATTAAAGTCTATTTCATCAAATTCATTAAAATGGGTAATTAATATATGTTTATATATTTGTTTACATACATAGTCGTGTTTTGATATTTGATTCTTCTTCATTACAGGACATCCTAACAAAATGTGGCTAATAGATGCAATTGTATTAGGACAATGTTTACAATATTTTAAAGCATCACAATTGAGTATTTTAGATTTAATACTTCCTGTCATAGTTACTCCTTCTTGCATCTTTACTACTTGGAGGAATGCATTTCTTTTTATATTTAATGACCTCCATGTGGCTACTGTTAATTTCTTATTATTAAATATACAATTTACATTTCTTATATATTCACTTCATTTCTTTCCATTCATTTAAATATCTTTCATTTATTTTATTTGTTACCCATTCAAATACTTTGCTTACATCATGTTTTATTTCGTTTAATTGTATTACATTCATTAATTCATTGAAATTAATCTTCTTACAAAATGCCCTCTTCATTCTTTTAATTATTCCATTTGGATCTCTTTTACTGCCTCTATCATTTCTCCTATTTCTGTATTTAATATTTATATTTTAAATATATTCTTAATAATTCCTTAGCACATTCATCTCGTGCTGACATTAACCCCATTCCTAATTCATTTATTATAACATATAATCTACTTTTATTGATGTTTCTACTGTATAGTTGGTGTTGTATCAATGCCTTTCTTATTTGTTTATCTATATTCTCAAACTCACCAAGTTTCCATTTGACAATACAGAATCAATATCTTAATTTGGAGATTATATCGCTATTAATCTTTCTAATTGTATTGATGCTGCTATATTTCATAATATTTAATGATGATAAATAGAAGATACATCATTTAATATTCTTGTATAATATTTATTAATATTTATTTTATCTCTTATTTCAATACCAAGATATTTATAATTGTTATCATTAGTTACTCTTGGTAATTCAGCTAATTCTCCATTTATCTGACCATTGATATTAGTCATTATCCCACTCTTTTCTACTTTTATTTTTAGTCCTATTGCATTAAATATTTCTTTTGTTAATTTATGGGCTTTTTCCATTTCTTCGAGGCTGTTAGTTATTATCTTTAAATCATCCATATATAATATGTTGTTTAACTGTACTTGTTTTTCTTCTCCATTCATTTTAATAGATAAAATATTAATTTGTTTATCTAATTATTTAGATAATATATCAATAAATAATACAAATAATAATTTAGATAAACTATCACCTTGTATTATTCCTCTTTCTACATTAATTATACATTCATTTTGTTGATTATAATATAATTGGAGTTGTGTAATATTTAATATATATAATATACTTTTAATTACAACTAATGGGATGTTAAAGTAAATTAAACAATGTTTAACAAATTGATGATTAATACTATCATATGCTTTAGAAATATCATAATATGTTTCTACCCACTTCCATTTAGCATTGATTAATAACTGAATGATTATAGTATTGTATAATAATCCTTCTTTTGATGCATATGTATATTTTTTACATCAAATTTGATTTTGTGATAATTGTTTTTCAATTTGATTTAGCATCAATTGGTTTTCTATCTTCATCTTTAATAAAGATGTATATACTTTTAACATACAATTTAAACAAATTATTTGTCTGTAATTTTGTTTATATAATTTATCTCATTTCTTATATTAATATTGTCCTTCATTTGATAAATTGAAGATAGATATCATTATGATTATACAACCATTTATTAAATAATTTTAATAAGAAATTCTTGGTTGTTCTAATTATTTAATCCAGAAGCATTGTATTTTATCAATTCCAGGTGATTTCCAATTATCAATGGATTTTATTGCATGATTTAATTCATCTAGAGTGATTACACACTTCTATTATTAATTCTATTTTCAATTAATATTTCATATAAATTATTATTTAGGAAATTTATATTAGTGTTATTTTCATAGATTCATTTCCAGAAATTAATTGTAGTAATATTATCTGGATATTCATCTTCTTTAGGCTTATTTAGAAGTTATCTCTTTCCATATTTTATCATTTTATAATTCATTCTTATTCTTTTCAAATTATTCTTACTTCTATTTCTATTCTTTTCATTCTTTGGAGGTATTGTAATAATTTATTTGATCATTTGTTTTTATTTTAATATGATATATATCATATTTTTTAATATGTAATATTATTTTTAATTTCATATATTGGTTATTATAGAGTAAGTCTCATAATCTACATATTTTTGATTGTAGTATTCTTTCTATACTTCTCCTTCCACTTCTTTCTTGATTGTTATTAATAATGATGTTAATAGTGGAGGTTATAGTTTTAATATAATGATAATAATCATCTAATGTATTGATTACTATTTCATTTGTATTATTGATATTAATTATTTGATGTACTTTGTTTTTATTGTAATAATAATTAATAAATTGTACATCTTCTTGTTCTTTCATATCTTCTTCTTTATTTATTCTTATTATTTCTTGTATTTATTCTTTCTTATTTATTTTATTAATTCTTTTAATTCAATATCTTTCCATTGGTGTGTTATTATTTCTTCTTCCTTTCTTCTATTGATTTCAATTTTATTTTCATTCTTTATTTTAAATGTTTTCTTTATTATTTCTTTATATTAATTAATATCTTCTATTTTAATATCAATTTCATGTATTAATCTTTTTATTTCTTCTTCTTTAAGATGACCTCTTAATTTTATTTCTAATAACTTCAGTGCAAAACATTTATAGAGTGTTAGAATTTCTTCTTCTCTATTTGTTTGCTTCAATTGTTTTTTGATTGTCTTGATCAGATGTGGTGATCTTCTTATGCTGATTTCCCATCTCTTCGATTGAATTCTGTATTAACTTTCTTTTTTTTGGAAGACCATCTTCATTTGATGATATTTCATCAGTTACTACAACATTGGGAGTGAGGTCATTCATAATTTGTGTTTCAGATGAGTCTGATATAGTGTGATTTATCTATTCTTTCTTCTTTTCTTCTTGTGTAATTTTATTTTGTAATTTAAATAATTTATCTTTCATGAAGTATACTTGTTGTGATAAATTGTTTACCTCAGACCTTTTCCTTTCTGATTCAGCATTGAATTCGAATAATTTTCTATCAATTTCTTGTTTTTTTTAGTGTTTATCTCCTTCTCATGATTCTTCTTTAATGAAATAATGTCATTTGATAATTTATTAATGGTCTGGTCATTCTTTTGTATTTCTTCTTTTCTTCTTTCTCTTTAATAGCCTCCTCTATTCTTTAATTCTTCTATTCTTTTATCTTTTTCATTCTTCTTTTCTTCCTCTTCTTTTAATTTCATCTTTTCTTTTTCATTATGCCTCTTCTTCTCTTCATTGTCCCTCTTTTCCTCAGCAAGCCTCTCTTTTCTCTCTTTTATTAGCCTCCCTTTCTCAGCAAGCCTCTTCTCCTCTTCTACTAGCCTCTTCTCCTCCTCAGCAAGCCTCTTCTCCTCAGTAAATTCATTTTCATCATCATTTTCAATACTCATTGTATATTTCTTATTTAAGTATTTATCATTTATTTCTTTTTGATTTAGTTGTTTGTCATCTTCTTCAAGTGTCATACTGATCGTTTCTTCTTCCATTCTAATCGTTTTTGTTTTTTCTCTTGCAAGTAAATACCATCTTCTCATTATTGTTGATTATATTCTTTAATCTTAGTGTTCTTAATTTATTCTATTTCTTGTGGTGTAAGTATTTTGGTTTCTTCTTCAATTAGTCTTTTCCAATATTCTTGTTTTGTATTTCTATCATTTCTTTTATTTCTTATTTGTCGTTGTCTTTTATTATGGTATTGTTTATATCTGTGTTGTGTTTTATTATGTGATTTATTTGTATTATAATATTGATTGTTTCTATTTGAATTATTGATAAAATACTTATGATGATGAAAATGAATGAAGTGATGAGCGAAATGATTCATATCATTATTATTATAACTGTTATGATAATTGTTATGGTGATAGTTATTAATATGGTAATGATTGTTGTGATGATTAATGTATTTCTGTCCATGCAGATAATACGTGTTTTCACTCATTCTTCTATCATTTATATTTCATGGATGATATGGATTTCTCCTTCTTTTGTTATTGATTGTTTTATAATTTTTGTGTTGTTTCCTGTAATGCTTCGCATCTTAAATAATAAATAAATAATAAACAAATAAAAAAGAAAAAAGAAAAAAGAAAAAAGAAAAGAAAAATAAAAAAAAAGAAAAAAGAAAAAAAGAACAAAAAGATAATAAATGGGAGTACCAAGTTTATTTGCATGGGTAAAACAAATATGCCCAAAATATGTTAAAAGATTACCGAAAGAGATACAAGGGAAAGACAAAAGAGAAAAGAATGAAACTGGAGAAGAATATGATAATTTATATATAGATTTTAATGGGATAATACACCAATGTTCACATTCTGAAAAAGAGGAAGAAGCCAAAAGTGAAGAAGAAATAATGGAAAGGATATTTAAAGAAATAGACAGATATGTTAATTATGTAAGACCAAGAAAAATGATATTTATAGGAGTAGATGGAGTATGTCCAGTAGCAAAAATTATTCAACAAAGAAAAAGAAGATATTGTTCAATAATTAATAATAATGGAGGATTTGATTCAAATAGTATTACACCAGGAACGAAATTTATGGAAAAAATAGGAATTGCACTTCATGGATATATTGTTAATAGAATGGATAATGATATATATTGGTCAGGACTTAGAGTAATATTAAGTGATTCTAAAGTAGCAGGAGAAGGAGAACATAAAATATATGAATTTATTAGAAAAGAAATAGAAAAGAATTGTAAATTTAAAGAAGAAAGACATTGTATTTATGGAATGGATGGAGATTTAATTATTTTAACATTAGGAATTAATATTACAAATATGACAATTTTAAGAGAAGAACAAGAAATAATAAAAAAAAATATTAAATGTGATATATGTGGAAAAAAACATAAAACAAAAGATCATGGAAAAGAAACAAAATTAATTATGTGTTATCCAAATGAATTAAGAAAATGGCTTATTAATGAAGCTAAAAAAAATCTTATTGAAACAAAAAAAGAAGAAAAAGAAAAAAAAGGAGAAGAATATAAAGAAGAAGAAGAAGAAATTAACATAATAGAAGAAGAAATTATTAATGATTTTATATTAATTTCATTTCTAGTTGGAAATGATTTTCTTCCAAGAATTCCATCAATTAAAATTCAAACAAGAGGAATGGAAATATTATTAAAAAATTATTGGAAATTATATGTTAAAGGAAAAAGATTAAGTAAAGGAACAGAAATTAATATTAAAAATTTTAAAGAATTATTTAAAATGATAGGAGAAGAAGAATCAAATATTTTAAAAGAAATTATTCAAAATACAAAAAAAGATAAAGAAGTTAAAGTATATGATCAAAATATTTATTTTGATTCATCAAAAGAAATAAAATTAAATCAAGAAGGTTATCATGATCGTTATTATCAAATTCATTTTAATACTACAAATATTGAATTTATTCAAAATATTGTTCATCATTATTTTGAAGGTATTTCTTGGGTTTTTAATTATTATCTTAATAAACTTCCTAGTTGGAGATGGTATTATAAATTTCATTATGCTCCTTTTGCTTTAGATTTTGCTTTATATCTTAATGAAAATGATTCTATTTCTTTTTCTTCTGATACTCCTATTCTTCCTTTAGAACAACTTCTTTCTGTTCTTCCTCCTCATTCTTTTAATAATATTCCTTCTAAACTCGCTCATTTTGTTCTTTCTCCTAATTCTCCTATTCTTCATTATTTCAATACTTCTTTTAAAATTGATATTAATGGTGAAAATAAACTTTATAAAGGAATTCCTCTTCTTCCTAATATTGACATCGATCTTCTTCATTCCTTTGTTTTCGACCTCGAACTTTCTCTTCCTCCTTCTGACTTCAAACGAAATATTCTTCTTCCTTTTAATATCCTCTACGTCACTAAAAATTCTTCTCTTCCTCTCTTCTCTAAAATCCAATCTTTATATCTTTCTAACTCTTCTCTCATCTTCTCTCTTGACTCTTCTCTTGACCTTTCCCCTTCTCTTTCCTCTCTCCCTTCTCTCTCTTTCTCTTCTTTCTCTCTCTTCCCTCTTTACTTTATGGACTTCTTCATCTCTCCTAAACTTCACTATTTAATGTTCTCTAATCATTCAATTACCACTTTAACTAATCGTCACGTCTCTAACGCTTTCTTCTCTAATTGATTCCTTTCTTTCTTTTAATATTTAATTATTGTTTAAACGTTATTTTTGTTGAAAATATTTTTTGAAGTATTATTTAATTTAATCCATTTTTATGGTTATGGATTTGTTTAATTTATTGTGAAGTTCTTTTATGCTATTGATGTCATTTATTTCTATCAGTTAAATTTGAGTAGTAAACCCAAAAAAAATAATATTTTTAAGATAGAAAAAATTAGAATAAATGAATTACAAGAACTTATTTAAGACCTCTTAATTTGACTCCTAAAACACGTTCTAATTTAGCCAACACTTGTTGGCTTGGGATTGCTCTACCACTTTCGTAATCAGCGATTGTTTGAGGTTTTTCGTTTATTTTTTGAGCCAATTCTTTTTGAGTTAGATGTTTTTCTTGACGGGCTCGTTGGATTTCCAATGAAACCTTGTGACTGACTTGTTTGTGTACTAAAGGAGTCTCTCCTTCGTCAGCTTTTCTTTCAATGGTTCTAATATCTGAACCACTTGTAGTTGAATTCATACCAGCATTTGGTTTCTTTACTGGCCTAGCAGCACTTTTTTGGTTTTGGCCTTTACCGATGTAGATATCTTTTGTGTCAATGCTACAGTTGAATGCCATCCTTTAAAATGAGTGAATACTAATTAAACAAGATGGTACTTTATATATGTTTATTTGAAGTTTGATTAACTGGCAACACGTAATGATAGTGTTTTTTATTAGTTAATTTTTATTTTTTATTATAGTTCTTCCTTCATAACTATTAAATAGTTGGTCTGTCTTCCTTATTAAGTCATATACAAGATTTCTTTTTCCTTAAAAAACAAAGATAAGTAGTTCAAATTATTCAATCATTCTTAAAAATTTTTTGTGGCTCAGTTTCTTCATCCTCCATATTGATAAATCGTTGTTTTGGGGAAATAGTTTTACGTAATGTTTCATAAAGGGTTCCTTCATTTTTGAAATTGCTATTAGCCCCATCAGTATGAATATTAACTTTTTGACTTTTATTAACAAAAATCAATTGGTCATCTGAGTTATAAATAATAAGATCATCTTTGGTAAACTTTCCTCCTTTAATAATACATTCTCCTTTTTCTATTTGCATTTCTCCTAAATTATTACCAATAACAGGAATTTTTATTGTATAATAATTTTTGTTTTCAATACCAACGAGAATATGAAGTTCTTCATTCATAGCTTCAACGTCATAAATAATGACAACATCATTTTTATCAAATTGTTTCATTTTTATTTCTTCCCCATTTTCTATTTTATAAATTCTCATTGTTCCATCACAGCTCCCACAAACAACAATTGGAATATTATTAATTTCTTCGCATTTACATGAAGTAACAAGTTCAACAAATCCATAACAAAAACTTTGAATAATATCAGTTCTTGGGTATCGAGTTACACGAACCTTTTCATCTCTATCACAAGTAATAATAGCATTTTTTTTCTTTGATATTTCAATTTGATTAATAACACTAAAATGAGCCAAAATAATATTTTGTGCAATGGTATCTTTTAATTTATTAATATCTTCTGTTGCCAATGGCATTTCATCAATTTTAAATCTATAAACATCACCAAATTTATCAGACACTAATATTTGATTATCTATTTCACAAACAGATGTTGGTTTTTTTGTTAGTAATAGATGGTGTGTTAACACTTTATCGTTATATATATTCACTGTTTTGTCATCGCACAAAACAACGACCATTTTATTACTAAGTTCTAAAGCATCAATTACAAGAGAATTACAAGTAATAAATCCTTTATGTTCGAGGTTTTGAGAATAAATTTGTACAGTGTTCTTGTATAGCGCTAATAACACACTTTTATCTTCGTTAAATTTAAGCATAGTATTTTATATTTTTAAGTTCATTACTAAGATACGAGAAAAAAAATAAAGAGGGTTTCACTTTTTTCCTATTTTTTGTTGTTCATTTATCTTGATGAAGATTTATTCATAAAAACAACTTTTTTATTTCTTGTGCTTTATCCATCTTCTATTTAACTTTTTCTTTAAAAGAATGAGATTGATGAAGTAGTGTGAATGAATTATTTTATATCTCTTTTAATAATCCTTTTACTCTTTTGGTTTTAAATTATTGATTTTCTTTTTATTATGTAATTTAATTATTGTTTGTTTCAAAACATTAGAAAAACCAAATTTTTTTAGTTTATCAAAGGTTAAAATAATTGTTATCTGATAACTTATTGTTTAATTTATCAAATTGAATACTATGAATGACAAGCCATAAATAATTTTTCTTGTACACTATTTATTTCTAATTGTTATTTCTTTGTTTCTTGTACACACTTAACTTTTTTAAAACATTATGTTCTTAACAATACATTGACTTTTGTATAAAAATTTCATCATTTAAACAATCAAGTAATATACTATTTTTTTTAATAACTATTTTGATTAAACAGTTTTTTCAATATTTTTGTTATTCTTAGTATTTGTGAGAAAGTACATTATCGTGGATATTCTTCAATTAAATTTAAATAACTAACACTGTTTATGGTTAGATTCTAAATAACACCTTTTAAATGTAATTTATTTTGAATAACCTAATGAAAAAATAGATTTACTATCTGGTTATTCTAATAATTGTTGTTACCTTTATTTATTAATATCACTTAATTTAACATTCGGTATCTTTTGATTTTTTGGGTTCTTTATTTTCATAGATCTTACTATCAATTAAAAATCTGAACAATCATTAAATACAATAACTTTTTGATATTTTTAATGAGAGTTATTTGAATTATTCTATTTAAATTAAATACAATTTATCTAACAACAAACAATTATTTTTTTAATTCATAAACTAAATTTTTAGATCTCACAAAAAAGCATATTGCATAAAAAATATTCAACATATTTCCTTAATAGAGTTTCATTACTGGTTTTGTTCAAATAAAAGAGCAAGAGTCTTTCAAATGTAAATGAAAAATCTGGTATTGCTGAAAGGTCTTAGATTAGAACTATCTCATACATCTCAATATTTATTTGACATTTTATACTTTACAGGAAAGTAGTTGAAACTCCTCATTTGAAGAAACTCAGGTTTAGCCCTTTACAGACAAATTAAATATTTTTTGGTTGGACATTTTAAATAAAGTTAACCTAAAAGTAATTTAAAAAACTCCAGATAAAGTTATTGATGTTCAGTTATCATTGAACTTTATAAGACGTGTAATAACGATTAAACGAGATATAATAACTAATCAGTTTGATACAGACACATTATTTAAATGATAGATTTTGTCTTAAAAATAACAACTCTCTACACACTGATTATTCCACCTGGTTCAGTAAATGATGAAATAGTTCAGATATTTACAAAGGAAGGAGGCCAAGAAGAGGAGACTTTAAGGCTTAGAGCAAAATAGGCTCTTCCAGCAAACGTTGAGATCAAAAGTTATTTTGGTGTTTGTTGTACTCACGAAATTACCACAGAAGAAATATAAAATGAGGTTAAGAATAAATTATCATTTTATTGTACCTCAATGGAAACTCAATTTGATGCTAAGATTATGCGATTAAATGAATCATAGAAAATAGGGCCAAAAATGGAATTCCCAACGTTCTTTTTCTGAAGTAAGATTTTTATATTGAGTTTTATTAATATAAGCTTTATGCTTTAGTTTTCTTGTAAGAAAAATAAACTTAAAATTATCATTTTAAATCTATGAGCCAGTGGTATTCTTCTATCAATATTTGGTGCACACTGATTTCTTGTTTGGTCTGTGGAGGGCTTTTAATTGGACTTTCAGTGATGTCTTATCATTACACTGAATTTGTTGAGGGGTCTTTAGTTTGGATGCAAATAACTTCAATCAGTGGGTTTTCTTGTGGAGTCACTTACCTTATATTAGGTCTCGGAAGTATTATATTATTTATACTTGCTTTTAACATTATTGGTCAGTGTTTGTCTTGTTTGTTTTGTTGTTGTTCTTGTGGGGGATGTTTATCATTCTTTATATTATCAATAATTATATTATCTTGTGGCCTTAATGAAAACTCTCTAGCTAACTTATCTCCAGCAGCAATTGCTGCCATAGAACAAGACGTTTGTTTTTTTTAAATCTTTAATCTAAAGTTTCATACGATATATTTACTGAGTATAGTATAATTGTTGTGCTTACTCAAACAACTACACATCTTGCCAAACTATTCCTCACGACGAAGAACCACTTTCTTTATCATACGAAAGTGACTGTGACGATTTGTATTTGCACTACGTTCTCAGACAGTACAAGGTCATTGGGTCAGTTATGCTAATTTCATCCTTTTCATGCCTCTTTTATATAGCAACAAATCTACAAGGAACGCTAAGAATGAACGAAGGAAAAAGAGACAACTATTTACTAATTCACTAAAATAAAGAAAGAAGGAAAAGAAAGAAAGGAATCAATTAGAGAAGAAAGCGTTAGAGACGTGACGATTAGTTAAAGTGGTAATTGAATGATTAGAGAACATTAAATAGTGAAGTTTAGGAGAGATGAAGAAGTCCATAAAGTAAAGAGGGAAGAGAGAGAAAGAAGAGAAAGAGAGAGAAAGGGAGAGAGGAAAGAGAAAGGGAAAGGTCAAGAGAAGAGTCAAGAGAGAAGATGAGAGAAGAGTTAGAAAGATATAAAGATTGGATTTTAGAGAAGAGAGGAAGAGAAGAATTTTTAGTGACGTAGAGGATATTAAAAGGAAGAAGAATATTTCGTTTGAAGTCAGAAGGAGGAAGAGAAAGTTCGAGGTCGAAAACAAAGGAATGAAGAAGATCGATGTCAATATTAGGAAGAAGAGGAATTCCTTTATAAAGTTTATTTTCACCATTAATATCAATTTTAAAAGAAGTATTGAAATAATGAAGAATAGGAGAATTAGGAGAAAGAACAAAATGAGCGAGTTTAGAAGGAATATTATTAAAAGAATGAGGAGGAAGAACAGAAAGAAGTTGTTCTAAAGGAAGAATAGGAGTATCAGAAGAAAAAGAAATAGAATCATTTTCATTAAGATATAAAGCAAAATCTAAAGCAAAAGGAGCATAATGAAATTTATAATACCATCTCCAACTAGGAAGTTTATTAAAATAATAATTAAAAACC